CGCAGTGTGTGCACAGTGCAAAAGTTCCTTTGGGTCTACAGGGTTATTCATTGCGTCACTAGGCTAGGTGCCAGTTCACACAAAAAGAAGCCACTGTAGGCATACCAGGGCACTGCATGGTGACAACCCATGAATGCTAAAACATGTTCTCCTTTGATACAGTATCTCCATTGTTGATGAAGACACCCATCAATAATGAGACAAGAGGGTACTTAGGATCAAGACTTGTTGACCAAAAGCTTTTTCCTCACTGGGATCATAGAGGAGACTTCATTTACATCACAAACAGGGGCCAGGACAGTCGGGGTAGAAATCGTTAGGGGACGTGTCCAACAGGGTTGATTAGGGGAAAGGGGGCCATTTTAATCAATGCAAAGTTGTTGAATGGGTACAATGGTTTTTCTAGTTTCCTCAGAAGATTTGTCATTGTCCCGTTTGCTCAAACTATGTTCTGAACTCTTGGAAGGAAGAGGATGCATCTAGATACAAAAAACTATAGTGTTGTGCGCACGGTGTACAATGTGTGTTAGTTTATTTATGCATCCACAATTCACACGTGTATACATAGAGAGTAATGTTTCCATGTATGTAACTCTTTAAAGTTCAAAAAAATGTCTACGAAATGTTTTAGTATTTTTTGTTTTGTCCTCTATTTTCCAGCTCTGGCAGGAGCTTCTACATGTCACTTGGCGGGTGGTCGGTCGGTCTGTCTGTCTGTCTGTGTCTGTCCCCAAAAATTTACCAAAAACATTTGACCAAAAATTGACGCAATGCCATGCCTTCATCAGTAAATGCACTCTTGACGAAAGGTTTCGGAAAACGAGCTTTGTCTCGATCGATGCACGTCAATTTTGCATACGGGTATATGATGTCTGTCCCCGGAAATTGACCAAAAACGAGCCCCAAAGTTTCCCATAAAATGTAGGCCGAAGTAGCAAATTTTAATTTAAAGAAAAAAGAAAAAAAGAAAGAAATGAAATACTTAACAAAAATTGTTTGTAAAAATGTGTAAACTTGTGTGAAGATTTTGTAAATGGAGGCAAGATAATATGCAGTAATGTTATAGTCACGTGGTATATGCTATTTTTATGGGAAACTTAGGGGGCTACTTTTGGTCAATTTTCAGCACGTGATTTTCGCCTGGAAAGGTGGCCCTAGCGTGTATGCACAATCGCTTCATGCTGGACTTTAATACAAGGCGGCCAGAGCTTATTGTGCACTCGCACTTGTTTCTTTACATGTTAAAGGGAAAATACAATATTTGCAAACATAAAAAATAACACTACCAAATCATTTTGAAATACCTTGCTGGACTGTTAGTGAATGACAGTGTAAAGCATCCTGTAAAATCATGGCACCTGGTATACTGTCATTTTCAGGAAAAGTGGTATTTTTGTATCAATTTCCAACGCTGGTCAGCCGACCAGCGTTGGAAAAAAAACTTGCTTTTTTTTTTCAACTACTGGCCCCAATGTTTGCAATCGATTACACACCTATGAACGGGTACAAGCCAGCTAGACTGGTTCCCTGACCTTACAATTCCCCAATATCTATAAATTGCTCCTTTTCATCTTAAATGGAGTCAGCGTCTATGAACCCAAAACGTCAAAAAAGTCAGTGTAACAATATTTGCTATATAAACTATTACCAACCCCCCAAAATCCATCCATTTCTGAAAATTACAGCAAAAGCAAATGATACAATGTACATACACCCTTTAACCCTACCCCCACAAAATTAATTTGGGATGAAGTACCAGTATGTAGTATTTTGTGCAGATTGTGCTAGAGTAGGGTACCTGTATGTACTTACAGTAATATTTTTAAGCTTTGGGGGAGGTTATGTACATATGTACCGGTACTACATGTATGTGTACAGGGAAATTTGTTCGGAACAATCTGTTCAAGTGGGTATGTTCACACTTGAACAACATGGATATTAAAAAAAATTCTAAGGTGCTGTTTATTGGTTTTTTTTTTTCATTTGTTAGTCTGCACTCAAGAATTGCCGGTACATTGTGTATTTGGTTGCACATCATGTTTATCTGAACAACTCATGTGCACCCTTGCAAGTAAATGTGATTACACGGAAGGTTTACTGCAAGAAAAAAAAAACGTTTGTGAGAAAAGAAGACTTTTCTTACGGTACAAGTTGCTTGCTTTTAGTTGACACTGATGCGTCACTGTGATGCGTATGCGAGTGGTATGCCTAATAAACCATGAACATGTTTGTTTTCCTGTAATATATTCCCGTATGTTGGTAAAGTGATATGTGTTTTCTTATGTGATATTGCTCGATATGGCAGTGTCAGGTTCCAGTGTTTGGCACTGTTCTTGACATTTTTAAACATTTTCAGAGGTAAAGAACCTGTGCTGAGGTTGCTAACCGATGAATTCCCCGCATGATTTGTTTTGCCATTAAATTTGCATACGTATCCCGGGTTCCATTTACATGTACGTACATGTACATTGTACATGTACATGTATACATGTCCGAGATGTCCTTGACTTTTTGGAAAATTACATTGCACAAGTTTGGCTTGCAATAACAATAGTTGTGGTAATATTTTCAATGCTGTTTTTTTTTCTCCCCCAAAAATAAATGGAACATCCAGTATTGAGTGTGCACAATACAAGTACTGTATTTCAAATGAAAATGCAAAAGGCATTCATTATTATAAATGTGGGGATGTTTGGTTTGTTGGTCTGTTTTGTTTGTTCAACGCAAGGCAGGTTGATATATTGGGTGGTTTGAGCATGGTTTGAGGAAGCTTACCGTACATGTAGAGCAATGCTCAAAACAAAATTAAAATGCAGTAGCTGCATGTGTATGCATTTGGTAAGGCCCGAAATAGATTAAATTTAATTCTACATCAGCTGATAGCGAAGGCCACACTGATATTCCTATCTTAGTATTGTTGCATGCCTGCACGTAGGTAATCATTTTTATCTTGGCAAAATTGAATACACAGTATTTACATTGTAATTCTTGGAATAGATGTTGGCCAAATTCACTGTACATGTGTGTATACCGGTACATGTACCGGTGATGTTAATACGGTGATGTTAATACGGTACCTTGGGTACTGGCATTTCATTGGACCAAAGTGGTCACATGTAAGTTTCCAAGAATGATAGTTGGCAACAAAATTCAATGAGCACAGCGGTCATCAGTTCACCTCAGTACACAATCGCTTTGATTACAGATCCTGATTTTTTTTATTTTGATGCTCACTACTTTCATCAAGGGGAAATGGGTCATTCTATAAATTTGAGGTCCAAAGTGTGACATTTTTCCCGTCCCTGTTACCTTGGTACTTTGTAATTTGCCATTCAAGCATCATTAAGAATGACTTCAAATGATTGTTTATTTGTTGGGTAGGTAGTTTGCTATTCATAATCACTCTTGGAGGATGACTGCATTAAGGAGTGCATCAGAATAATACAATCATAGATGTCCGATGTAACAGGGACGGGAAAAAAAGTGGACCCCAAATTCATAGAATGACCCAAATCTATTCTAAGACACAAGACATTTAACAAATCAATTGCGACTACTCTGATGTGAGACGTGACAGTTTTAACACCCTCTGGGTTCATGGCACAGATTCCATGTGCCTTTTGGGTGTTGAAAATGGCATACCCCATGTCAATATTAATCTGTGAAGATTGAGAGCACAATCTTGTGAGTCTGCAGGTCGACAGGGCAAGATGATCAGGGCAAGAGTTGATAATCGTTTTCCTTCCCTTGAGAGATGTGATTGCTAATCTTGTTACCCCAACAGCCTTCAATGCCCTGTCTTTCCCCAAGGTGTTCTTTCTAGGTAGATGGTTTGACCATGTAACTTATCTTTTAACAAGTCTGTTGACATTTTTGATTACCGGTGTCTGCAATTTGTCCATCTACATTTGAGATATTTTTGAAGGCTCAAATAATGAATCAAATGCCGTGCAGGTTCCTTTGAACTATTCGTTTTTTAATGTAAATGTATACCCCCCCCCCTCAAAAAAAGACCACAACAACAACAACAAGCTAACAAACAAACAACAACAACAACCCAACAAAGAAAACCCAATCCAAAAAACAAGCAAAACAACATGTAAATGCTTTTTTTTTTTTTCAAAGGCAAATTTGGACACCCAATTTGACTAAAAAATCTGATGTGATTCATACATGTATATTGTGAGAAATAATAGTAGTCAGTGTAAAAACTTGCTGTAAATGAAACAAGTTTTTGAACCCAGCTATAAAATCAAATAATGGTTTCACTCTAAATACCTCATTCAATCTTTGTCGTCTTTTCATGACTGTCAAAGAATACTGACAGAAACATTCTCTTTTTCTCAAAACCCATGTTTTTTTTACTTGAATCTCCCGTGGTTTATTAACCCTAACTCCCCAGGCATTTTTGCTAGGATGCAACCTCAGTCTAGAAAAATCCTCCCATTGCCTCCATGTAAAAATTGCATACAGCCTCAATCCTGCAAAATCCTCTATATCTTCCTTGCATGTGGTTTTTGGAGGGGTGACCTCTGGCTCAATCCTGCAAAATCCTCCGACAATCGCTGTCAATATGTTGAGGCTGAGCCAGTGATACATGTACATGTATACCCTAGAGCAGTGCGGAGTGTTTCAAGTATAATCTAGGTCAAAATTTATGCACAGCTGAATATTAACAGCACAAAGACCTGGACACAGTGCATCCTCCAAAATCAGCCACACATTTTTGCCGTACAGCCTCAATCCTGCAAAATCCTCCATTTTGCTAAGAGGATTTTAGAGGGCTTTGGAAGGTTAGGGTAAAAAAAACTTTTCCAACTTTAACTCCCCACTGAGCCTCACATACCATACATGTAAAATTCACTCTTTTGAAAATTAATGTGGAGTTTTTGACAAGCAGAGTTTGTTTGAACAAGTATTGGTACATGTAGTTTGACAAGTGGACCAGTTTCGAGTTTGAATCCAGTGAATAAGGTGTCTTTGATTTTGTTTGGTTGCAGATGCCACTCCAGCAGAGAGGGAAGACCTGTTCATGCAGAAGTTGCAGCAATGCAGCGTGGTCTTTGACTTCATCTCGGATCCACTGAGTGACCTCAAGTGGAAAGAGGTCAAGCGGGCAGCTCTGAACGAACTGGTAGACTTTGTCACCCATCAGAGAGGCGTTATAACAGAACCCATCTACCCTGAAGCTGTTAAAATGGTATGGGGTATATTCTGGCAATCTTGGTTTGGGGGACGGCATTTAGAAAACAAGTACATACAAGATGTCTGCAGATTGTTCCAATTCTAGTTGAGAGTAGTGCCTAGGAGAAGAGACAACCCAGCCAACCCCATATCAAATACACACAAAATAAACAGAATCCTTGAAAAAAAATCAGATAAAAAACCCCAAATATCAACCTTGATTAGCAATCTGTTAGGGCAAATCTCCAGCTGTGAAACCTAACCCCTAGGCCCTTTAAGCTAGGAACTTTCCTCAATCCTGCAAAATGCTCCAATTGATACCATATATAAATTGGATTCAGTTTTTTTCAGTGGAGGGGTGACCATTGCCTCAATCCTTCAAAATCCTCCAAACAATAACTGTAATGGGTCGAGGCAGTGCCGATGACATTCATAAGCAGTGCCGATGATATCGAGCATAATGCAGGGCTCAATTATGCATGACTGAGCATAAACAATGCAGGGTACAGCCTACGAACTAGACACAATGCATCTTCCAAAACCAACTGACACTTTTTTTGCCATTCAGCCTCAATGCTCCAAAATTCTCCAAAACTGCGCATGGAGGATTTTGGAGGATTGAGGAGGATTGAGGAGGATTGAGGAGGTATAGGGTCAAGAAGTAATTTAAACAGGTAATATAGAAGATTTGGACAGTGACCTATATTTTTAAAGTTTGACATTCATCCGAGGGCAAACTTCATGTAACTCTGGGTTACCGGTAGCTTCTCTCTGGGACACCAGAGTACCGGTAATTGATATTTTTATGTACTGTACGTATATGTACATGTAGCTGTATGTGAAGGTTTGTACATGTTCTTGTAAATCCTGTCCTTCTCGAGCATGTTTGAACCTATTTGGTTAAATCAGGTGCTGAGGTGAGCTTCCTATCAACAAAACTGTACATATTTTATGTTAACTACCTTAAAAATAATAATAATAATAACGATTTATTTACTTATTTTTTTGTTGCTACTTCTTTGAATATTAACCTTTCCATCCTCTTTAGGTGAAGCAGCTTGTCTCAGAATATGTAGATGCATGTTTGCCTTCTTGTAAATGTCAAGTGATAAGAAGATGACAAACTTACAAAATAATTTCCATGTTATCTAATGCCGTGTATCTGAGTGAAATCAGATAACCGCAGAGAGACACAGAGAGAAAGTACGTGGTTTATTTTAGGATCAGCTGAAAGTGCAGTTACGGAACAGCCGTGACGGTTTCAATTGCACGAGCACGGGGACAAGTGTCCCTGTTACAACTGTACACATCAATTTCCTGTCCCAAATTGCTTGTGATTGAAACGGGATCCCTCTAATACGGATGTGAACATGTACATTGACATATGAAGTCTGTCACGTTACTTGAGATTGTGACACGAACACACACTATGTGTACCCGTTTTTCTGTGTGTCAGTTGAATGCACCTATATGAAACTAGGCTTGCAGTAAAACACGATTTTTATAAGAATTTAATTTTGATTTCTTAACATTTATTTGTGTCCAGTCGTGCCTTTTTTTTTTTTTTTTTTGCTTATTAAAAAAATAATCCGACTCCTGTACTGGTCTGGTAAATATTTCCCCCACTTGAACAAACAATTCTTCAAGTATGTTGACTGACATGTATTTCCAAATCTGAATTTGTTTTTAATCAAGAAATTGTCCGTTGGGAAATGATAGTGCACTTTACATTATCAACAATTGTAATTGTCATTTACACCAGAAACAATTTTTTCCCTTTTTTTTTTCTCTTTCCTTTTTTCCTCCCCACAGTTTTCAATAAATATGTTCCGCACGTTGCCCCCACCTTCAAATCCCAGCGGTGCCGAGTTTGATCCAGAGGAAGACGAGCCGACATTAGAGGCGGCTTGGCCACACCTACAGGTCAGCAAAATCCTCTTTAGTTAATTCAGATGTTCCGATCAAATTTCCAAATCAAATCACAGGGCTAGTTCATACAATGTGCGATTATGAAGCAAATTTGACGTTATGAAACATTTGCAGTGGATTTCACCTGAATAAAAATGTGTCGAATTATTATACAGGGGTGAGTCAAAAAAAGCGGAACCCAAACCCCCAAAAATATATTTTATATTTAAAAAAATATGTACATGTAGCACTAAAAGTAATAATATATTTAAAAAAATATGTAGCACTAAAAGTAATAATGGCTGGAAAGCCAATTTCAAAAGCTACTTTTAGATGAAAAAAGTATTGAAATTGCTCAATCCGTTCAAAGATTATCACCATTTAAACACAATGACCCTAAAACCTGTCTCGTCCAAAAAAAGCAATTTATTGTGTGATTTGACTGTTTTTGAACAACAAAGGAAATGCAACAGAATACTTGTTTCAACAACTGTCACCAACTGTAGTACACAATATTTTGATTAACAACCCTGGTTAGGCAAATAATATGATTTATAAAATTTACTTTTTGAAAAGACGGGCCTTCAAAAGGACTTTGTTGCATATTGTTAACGTTTAAACTAAGATTTCATCGCTGGTGATGTTTGAAGACAATTGTGACGACGATTGTTGAAATCGCATTTTTTTTTGGACGAGACGGGTTTTAGGGTCATTGTGTTTAAATGGTGATATTCTTTGAAAGGATTGACAAATTTTAGTATTTTTTCAGCTAAGCGTAGCTTATGAAATTGGCTTTCCAGTCATTATTTTGGTGCTACATATTTTTTTAAGTATGAAATATAATTTTGGGGGTTTGGGTTCCGCTTTTTTTGACTCACTCTGTATATTCACGGCGCGAATACTTGCCATCACATCATAAATTTACGTTAGCTTTCACTTTTGCGGCTAGGATGAACCAGCCTTTATATGATACAAGTTATAGCGTGTCTGGATGAGTGCCAATGACAAGTTATCTTTGTAACCTGATATCTCTTAGATCTTCTAGGTCAAACGGAAGGGTTATGGATGATTTTTCTAGGATTTACAATGTAGGAAGGAATAGCAAGATCGCTTTTACTCTCCGTGGAACTTGATATCCCTTTGAAGTTTGAAGTACACACCTGTACAGACAGTGCACCATCCACTTCTTGCACAGTGTAGATTATGGAGGATTCTGGAAGTTTCTCATCTTAGCCGAATAGGCAAGGGAGTTACAGTTAATCCATGTTTCTTTGGTCGTAAAACCCCTTCAGAGTTTAGAATTTCAATTCTTATACTCATGCAGTGTAAAAAATAGTCTGAAGGAAATACTGTAGCTCCTTCTCTGACAATTCGTGTTTCAAACTCTTCAATTTGGGCAATTCACAGTGCAGTGCGCCACCAAGAGTTTGCCATGGAGAGTCAACTTTTCAAGTTTATGGTAGAAAAAATCTGGCCCATTTGAATGAGTGTCAGTAGACAACTTGAGCTAATTTGTTATAGATTGGGGCATAGGGTTCTGCTGCCTTACAAAAAATCACCATATTGATACAAATAAAAGAAAAGGGCAGACATATACTCGAATCATACGCTTACGAAACTACTGACCGGAAAAAACGAACAATTTCAAATATCCCACGTTGCGAATTTGTCGACCATCTCCCACAATGCACTGGGAAAAATGAACTCTCCGTGGCAAATTATTGGTGCTCTGCATTGTGAATCACCCGAATTGGAAGATTGGTGATCACTTCAGAATGTCCCTCAATTGCGAGTACTCGACATCTGACGATTATAGCGTACAAGTACCAGCAAGCTCACCTCATGAGTTGCGTGTTGTTGTGTTTTGTACGCCCAAATTGAACTACATGTACTTGATAAACTAAATATAAACTGCATAAAGCTTTCAGGAAACCTTAAAATAATGGAAACCCTTTCAACATGTTCAAGACAGCAAATGAGTGAAGTCCATTCAAATTCATTCATATTATGACCAGTTAAATTAAGCTTAGTTACGGTAGCTCCGGAGCCCATGAGCACTCGGTCCTAAATGAGCGAAGTGAGCTCATCAATTTGTGGTCTATTTTCTTTAATCAGGTAATCAATTTACCTTTTTTTACATGTACCAGTACATGTATTGTGTGTCAGATTGTCGGAAGACGACATGTATCCAATCTTCATTCATCCCACATATTGTCAATACAAATGCTAGATGCACAAGTAACCGGAAATGTCCCTTTTGTCGCAGAGTTGCTTTCACATTCAATCAGGGTTTCCTGCGTGCACGTCAAAGAGCGATTTGTTATCTTGGACTGAGGATAACGCTGTATTATTCCCTTGAAACTTAATAGCTGCTCCCATGATATGATTACACCCTGTGCATGTTTACAGGTGTATCATTGGAATTTGAGTGAAGGGAAAAAAAACTGGAGGAATAAAAAGAAAACGCATAATTGCTCCAGAATGCATGAGTCAAGTTCCGACATGTAGAAGGAACTTGTGCGCTAGCATGTTGAATTTTTTTCCCGTATGGGACTTTTCTGGCAATATTGTGGTATTGTCACATGGCTCTAGTGTTATCAGGAAACATTATGCCTTGGGATAAAGTGTTGTGCCAACGGCAGGAAGAGCAGGTTTTTAAACGATCTGTTGGGACTTAACCCTGCTTTGTGATTAGGAGCATCTACCGGTACATCCTATGCACCTGTCTTGTGGGAAAAAGTAGGGGAAGCTTGGGGGGGGGGGGACTGCAAGGGCTTCCAACAGATATGCCAGAAGAATGTACATTGTACAAAATGTAAAGTTTTCTTTTATCTATTCATTAAATTTGTAACATGAAAAAAGTAAGACTGCTGCAAACTGCTTACTGACTGGATGGACCTGAAATATATAAATCTAAAAAATTAATGTGGCCTGACGTTGCGAACTTAGCAAGTTCTTCTTCAGAGGCTAAAACAGACTGTTTTAGCCTCTGAAGAAGAACTTGCTAAGTTCGCAACGTCAGGCCACATTAATTTTTAGATTTAAATTTGTAACAGTTTCATTTGTTTTTAATTTTGTTTGGGGGGGGGGGGCGGGGAGGGACGGGAGGGACAGGGGATGAGGAACACACATCTGAGACATACCCTGACATGCATGCTGATATTACATCCCACCAAAAAAAAGAAAAAGAAGGAAGATTTAAAGAGATGTTAGAAATTAATTTTTAAAGCAGGCTAAAAGCGAAAGCTGTTCAGTTGATGTAGAGAGAAAACATACATGCTGTACATTTGTATTTGAATGTTCTCTGACAAAACATTGCCCGACAAACGTGTTTGTTGTTTTAAGTTTATCATTATTATTGTCACGGTGTTGGCCTGAAGCGTCTTATTATATCTGTGAACCAAGGCCAGAATCCTTTCCAGCAATCGCCACGTGATGAGTATTTCTTGTATCAATACACATGGGAGAGATGCAAAGTGTTGATTGCAGATTTATCATTAATGAAATGAACCGCAAGAGAAACTGACGAGGTGCATTTAAAAGAAATTGACCGGAGTAGGGTTTGAACCTGCATCCCCAGGAATACAGTGCCTGTGCTCTACCAACTGAGCTATCCAGCCGTATGTTGGCGGTTCCCCCATTTTGTCAATGTGTTTGTTCAAGGGGTGCTAGTCAGAAGCCATAAACTACATCTCACCCAAAGTCATCAAGTTTTGACTCTTTTTTTTTCATTAAAAACAAATCAAGTAATCTTTAATTTAGTAAAATAAGGTTTGTCAACACGGCCCACAATTTGTTTACAACAGGGAATTGAGCGAAAAAAATAAATGAGGGTAAACAAAAAAACCCAAATAAATTCAGGTAAACAAACGTGCGAATATTATGTTTGTCACTGTACCGGTATTTTTAAAGGGTAATGTTGAACCTACATGTACTAAATGTAATGTCATACACTTGATGCATATTATTCATTATGCATGTTATCCCCCCCCCCCCCCCCCCCCCCCCGTTGTTTTCTCCTCACTGATGTACTGTAAACAAAGCCTGACCTTTGTGTTTGGCATTTTGGTGGCTTTTAGAACTGTTTTTGGAAGGTTGTGGCAAAAAATACACTGTACATGTAGCATTGGTTTTAAGTAGGTTTTTAATTTTTTAATTTTGTTTTTATTAAAAGGGAATGTTTCTAAAAGATGGGGGGGGGGGGGGGGGGGTTAGTGCTCTTTGAGCCTTATATGGATGCCTACAACCCTACGTGCAATTGAAAACATCATCATACCGTACATGACGTTCTACATGAGTATTGAACAAGCCCTTAAGTCCAAACTGTCTTGACATTTACATACGTTCTCAGTAAAAAGCCTTGTACTGTTACGTTCCCAACACTGTTTAACCTACATGTACATTGCACTGTTGCATCTATTTTAGTCTTTCTCAAGTCCTGTTCAAACCCTTTCTTGACCAATATGCTTTCTCAAGAAAAAGCACTCGAGAGTTTCTCCCGTTTCCCCCGACCTCCCCTGACATCCTGTTTTTTGCCGTGCACTTAACCTTTTATTGGCCGCTTTCCTTCCGTTCGCAGCTTGTTTATGAATTTTTCCTGCGGTTCCTGGAATCGGCCGACTTCCAACCCAACGTAGCCAAGAAGCACATCGACCAGAAGTTTGTCCTGCAGGTAGGAAGTCTAGGGAAGGCATCTGTTTTGAATCTTTGCTTTTTCTAAGAGGATCAAAAGATTACAGTTTACAAGAATCTCCTTTTTTCTTAAGTGCTAATGAAAGTTTTGGTTCGTTGACCGATGGCTTGGCCCATACTGCGTTAGCAGGCATCTTGGCTTAGTCAATTCATATGCTAACTGTATACGGGAATCAGGTAAAATTGGACACAATGTTGCAGGTTTTTGTGCAGGTCTACAAACATACATGTACGTGTACGTTTACATCCATAATTTACATAATTTGGCTGCTGACCTGTTTTGGCAAGTCACACACTCGGTTGTCATGGTTGCGCTCTGCGGATTTGGAATTCTACAAATACTGGCCTACGTTTTTAATTGCAATTAGTGATTCAGCTACCGGTATGAGGAAGATATCCAATCTAAATATTTTGATGGCATGTATTAGTTTTCTTTGATGTGATGTCATTAGTGCTAGAACAGTGCGCATCATGTGCCAAATTGAGGGTTTTTACATCCCAAAATTCAAAAAAAATTGTCTATAATTTACAACTTAATCCAAATTTTCCATTTAATAATGGTTATTTTAGATTGGTACGTGAGTGTTTGTTTCAAGTTTATTCATTCTTTACCTTTTTTGGGGGGGGGGGGATGTTGGTCTTATGCCTTTTTTGTGGGGGGGGAGCCTGCCTCCTTCATTTTTTTCAGAAAAGCCGGACGAGAAACTTCCGGTACTTACTGTTTTTTTACTCGGCCTAATGGTCAGTGCATATTCTACAAAGCACTCTTACGTTGTTTCTTACATACAATAACACATGTGCAAGTAATTTAGTGTCCATGGTAACGCATTGCGATTGCACCCAAGTCTGTATTGATTTCACCACCTTGAATGAGAGAAAAAAATAGAATTTTTAATAAAAACATCCAGGTGGTCTTGGCTTTTTTTTTTACACAAGCAATATTTTTTTCGGAAATTTGCATCCACTTATATGTTTTGTAAATCATACAGGCATGCAACTTGTCCTCGGATCTGCTGATTTCCTTGTTTTTTACTCCTCATGAATGCCATTACAAATTGAAAAACACTGTGCAAAGTCTTGTGTGGTTTGGAGTTTCCTCGTTTTTTCCCTAAATTCCCAGTTGCGTGCCTGATTATATTCTAATGGTTCACAAGAATGTCAATGTTGCTCAATGCACACTGTACTTATGCATATAATTAACAATCCAACTTTATATCATACATTCTACATGTAATGCCTACATGTGTGTCCTAGTTATTTTTCATAAAGACACAAAAGTTGTCCATGTACCTTTGGGTAATGAAATCAGATGATATGCAGATAAAATCAGTATCATAATACCAAACATCTTTTCTCCTCAAAATGGTGTTAAATTTCATGGATATTGTCATATTTTAGTCCTGAAAAGTCATGGAATTTGGTTTTCAGATTTCTGTGGGAACCCTGAAAAGGGTCTGAGGCAAAGCCTTGTTTGCAGATTTTATACACACATAAACTAAATTCTATTTTCTAAGGAAATTGAAATGGTCAGCATGCATGTACTCTGTTAAAACCAAATGTTGAAAGGTTCACTGAACCCTTCTGAAGAAACACATGTCTTGCCAGATTTAACTCTGATACAGTATGTTATTTATTTGTTCATGTTTTATTTTATATCTTCGGGCAATAAGTAAAAATATGTTTTAAAAAAAGGCCTGGTCTAGACAAAAGTTTGTAAAAACTGTTAGTATTGCATTAAGAACAAATTGGTCATTCACTAACTTGAAGAGTGACTAGGAGGACAAATCTCAGCTTAAGGGATGGGATTAGGTAGACACCTGTGGACGTTGCACCTCCCTCTCCCCCCCCCCCCCCCCCCCCCCCCCCCCCCCCCCCCAACTAGGAGCATTGATGATGAAAAATTGTACCACTGATTGTCATGTCATCCTTTTAAAAAAAAATTGTAATCAAACACCTGTTTCCTGTGAAGATCACTTACATGATTGTCACTGCGTTTAGTTAAGTAAGTAACAGGGATGTGTGGCATATACTTGTAATGAAAATGAATGGCACGGACATTGAAAGCATGCTTCACACAACACACAGCCTGTAGAACATTACATATTACATACGTGTACAAGTAGTTTGTTTGGCAGATAATGTAGCAGATTAATTTCAGAGAACATGGCTTTAAGCAGCCACGAACATGTGCTCAATAGCAACAAATGTCTAGTCATACATGTATAAAGAGTCCCGGATAAACTTCTTTTTGGTGCTTAAAGGGAAAATACAACATTTGCAAACATCAAAAAATAAAACTACCAAATCATTTTGAAATACCTTGCTGGACTGTTAGTGAATGACAGTGTAAAGCATCCTGTAAAATCATGGCACCTGGTATACTGTCATTTTCAAGAAAAGTGGTATTTTTGTATCAATTTCCAACGCTGATCGGCCAATCAGCATTGGAAACAACTGGCTTTTTTTTTTCAAATACTGGCCCCAATTGACCATCGCACTTGTTTGCAATCGATTACACACCTATGAACGAGTACAAGCCAGCTAGACTGGTTCCCTGACCTTACAATTCCCCAATGTATGTAAACTGCTCTGTTTCTTCTTATATGGAGTCATGGAACCAGACTACAGGAAAATGATCGTTTTTCTTGGTTTTTATAGCATTTTCGAAACCAAAACCTCAAAAAAGTCAGTGTAACTATATTTGCTATATATTTCCAACCCCCCAATTCCATCCATTTCTGAAAATTACAGCAAAAGCAAATGATGTATATATATTCCCTTTAAGGCACCGCATAATCATGGCATAAAATCTCCACTTATGGTCCCATGATGCATTGCTTGTGTAAATGTATGTACATGTACATGTGTCACATTAAGTTGCTTAATGATGCCATTTTGGTGCAGACATCAAAAGTCCAACTTAATTTCCGTCTCGACACTCATTGGCGCTGATTACAAGGACAGTACACATCACTTATCTGAACATAACTGTAATATGAAATGTCCACCTGCATTGCACATGTACATGTAAATTCAAGATGGAATTGGCAACATTGTGCGAAGGGCAAAAAAAACCCATTAGAATATATACATTGTACATGTACTTCATTCAAATAGTTAAATGTGTTTGTACGTTTTGTATGACATGTACGTGTACCTGTGCTTTGCTGGAAAAATACGCCACAGGACAGATTTCATTTTCCACTTGAAATGGGGTTTTGGAAATTGCAGACTTGGAATATTGACATGTTCATGTATATGACGGGTCCTGACAGGCCACAATGATGTATGAAGACCAATGATTTTTCTTCGTGTTCAATGGAAAATAGCCCCGGATTTCCCATTTTGGAATGGATCGAAGCATTGTTTTGCGTGTGTTCCAAACTCATCCAGTCCTTTAAAGTCAAAATAAACATTTTTTTCAAATGTCCAATGTAAGCATACTATGTATACAAGCTTATGTCTTGTTTATATTAAGTTTGCCGCAGAGTTGATGCATTCGAACTGTTTGTCCCAGGCCCTTTTTCAACACTACATGTATGTGAAATGTTTTTAAAAGAGAACAAATATTTCAGCTCTTTAAATCAAATAAATAAAATGTATAAATATAAAAAAATTGAAATGGAAACACAAAATCTCACAATGTGGTAACACCCTTATACAATCCATGAACAGGCTCAGATAGCATTTAAATACAATCACACGACACACGTACAATATAAATGTAATGTACCAGTAGATTTCCATGTTTATTCAATCAAAGTTATGAGCTTTCAGATCTGTTCTGGACGACTGGCCATTGCTCTCTGTGGACATCATCAGGAAACACTGCAGTTTGTTCTGCAATGATTTCTGTCAAGTTGCACTTTTAGTGACTGATACATTTTGAAGATTTCCATGTTTATTCAATCAAAGTTATGAGCTTTCAGATCTGTTCTGGACGACTGCCCATTGCTCTCTGTGGACATCATCACGAAACACTGCAGTTTGTTCTGCAATGATTTTTGTCAAGTTGCACTTTTAGTGACTGATACATTTTGTACATTATTGCTTTGTACCGGGGGTATATAACTATATATTCACATGTTCATCTTCATGTGAAAGGGATATACAGTATGTTACATGGTACATATAGTGTGCATATGTACTGGTAGACTAGCTATTCTTCTCTGATGTTACAGTAGGTTTGTATCATAATCTTATACACTATGTACGTGTACCGTATGGATAACCGGCACAACGTCTGAAGACAGACTCAAAATGGCGGATTATTGTGGACAGCCATTTCAATTCTGATACCGGCCAGCACGTCGAATGTCAAATTGACCTATGACCTTGGGGTCGACCTAATTTAAATATCAAATTGGATGTGTTGTGCATCTCCAATAGGATCTACAGCAGGCCCGTTCCCTGATCCTAGATTAGGGGGGGGGGTTCTTGAAATCCTAAAGCGAAAAGTTTTGTATGTGGGCGCAGAGCACGAGGCCTTTTGACGGCGTGAGGTCTGGGGCCCGTCAGCCCGGCTGAAAATTTTGGATTCTACATGTTCTAGATGCTCTGTGGTGCAATCTGAGGCATTTCCTTGCCACTTCCCCCTGACTTTTTGAATCAAATTTGTTCGTGTTTACACATGTACAACTTGAAGGCAAGATTTTTAGGGGATGGGTAATCAAAAGTTGATTTTTTTTTGGTTAAAATATCCGAGTAGAACTCGTCACCGAGCGAGGGGGTTTGTTCGAACGAGCAGGGGTGAACTGCAACTAGCAAATTCGTGCTGTCACGCTGAGGAAATGTATCAGTTTAAATGATACAATGCAATAAAATGTAAACAAAAATGCGTCAAATTTAAATAATATGTGGATGCTTTTAAAAGGGCTGCCTGCTTATTTATTTGATAGATTGTCACTTTTATGACGACATGTTTAACAGTCCGTAGCACGCACCATGAAGCACATGTAAAAATAGGTCTGGGGCTTAACA